GGGAGACCCATCAACAGCCTGGCCGTCGCACTTTGCACCAGCTGCAGATAGATCAAGATGGGTACCCTTCAAGTCTAAATAAAATTGTGGCAGGATATGAGATTCCGTGAGTCATTGCTCACTTCTTTAGATACCTGTCTTTAGTCTTTATGGTGCTACGGGACTCTTGCTCTTTTCTATTTGTCAACTGAGATAATACTTCTCTTAACCAAGGCTGTCATTTAAAATAACTGGTGAAATCACCCCACACAGAGTAATATTTCAGAGGGCTAACCTGCTCTAAGGAAGCAGGGATTTGAGGGGGACGGGACTATCAGTATGCACATAGCACCAATCCTGCAGAGGAATTACAGAGAGTGGGGCCAATGTGTGCCTGACATCCACTAGGTCCTGCAGGCAGAGATATCAAGACAAACTAGAAGTCTCCGATATACACTTATATCACCACCCAAAGCTCTCCTGGCAGCCTGATCTCCTATACCATGACCAGTGTTCCCTCTAAGCTGAGTTAGTGTGAGCTAGCTCACAGTTTTTTAGCCTCTGGCTCACACATGTTTTTCTCCGCTCAGGAAGGAGGGCTCCAGAGCCAACTAATTTATGCAGTAGCCAAGTCACTCGCTCACAACTTTAATGCCAGTAGCCCACAAAGTAGAATTTTTGCTCACACAACTCCACAGCTTAGAGGGAACATTGACCATGACACAAAGAATTGCAGCAGTGGAAAAGGTGAAACTACTAGACAGTGAATAAGGACTGGGAGTGTGTTAATGTGGAGCTCATTCTCAGGCACAGAGTAAAGGGGAGGGAATACAGCATGTGTCAAGCTTAAGAGTGAATCTCAGATGTATTTCCCCTTCAGTAGGGCTCACACCAAACACAGACACACAAAACGAAGGAGACCTTTAGCCGCAGCACAGTATTCCTCTGTACTTCCCTCTGACACACACACTTCAGAGCCTAGACTCAACCCACAGGCAAAGAGGCATAACCCTAGCTCAAGAGCTGCGCTGGTTAAAAACAGTGTCTGTACCAAAAGAGGACACCTGCTTTCCAGCATCATTACTGGCAGTATGCCGACACGGTTGCTGCTGCCACTGCCTCCCTCCACAGACCATCTAATCTGGGGGGAGTAATCCAACTCCCTGTCACAGAGAGGGAGAGAGGGAGAGAGGGAGAGGGAGAGAGAGAGAGAGAGAGAGAGAGAGAGAGAGAGCGAGAGAGTGAGAGAGAGAGAGAGAGAGAGACCTCTCCACTACCAAACCACCCTGTCCCATGGGCACACTCAGGCATTCCATGGGAGTTTCCAGACATTATATTAGAATCAAGTGTCATCATCTCTCTGTCTCCCAAGGTAAAATGCTTCTCAATTTTTCCAACTGGCAGCATTTTTCCTGTAGCAAAGGAGAGGGGATATCCCCTGCCTTCAGTTAACTGGAGCTCCCATCCCTTTTTCCAGCCCCTAAAGACTCAAAGCAAATTTAATAACCATCAGTGACCCATTCAATGCAGACCAATCCCATCAGGCTCCTGCTGGCAGAGCTACAGTCATCATCGGGATTCCCCTCTCCCCACCACACACACACACACACACACACACACAAGGAATTATACTTGCTAGGAGCAGAAAGCAGACATTTCAGGCCCCCACCTACCAGGCCTGAACAATTCAAATATCCTTCTTAGCACCAGCTAGACAGAACCAGAGAGAAGCAACAATTCCAGCCTCACGCAACAAATGCACAGGCCAGAGAGCTCCTTCCTTCCAATACCAATCAAATCCCTCAGCAGAAGGGAATTTCAGCCATCTGCAGGGCAGCCAGATTACCGACTGGAATCCACATCTCCGAACTCTCATACAGGGAGAGGAAAGAAACGCCAAACTGCTGCCCCCTATTGTACTCCGCTTTTTATCTGATAACAACCTCAGACATTTCAACCTCCCATCCATGCTTAATGCAGGGATGCAGGGTTTCCTCCCCCCCCCCCTTTTAAGTACAGCAGAGGGAAAACAGCCTTTTCCATGCCCTGTGTGGCACTGTCAACAGACAAGCCAGGAAAGAAGACAAAGCCCCGTCTTCTCTACTACAGTGCTATAGATGCTGCTTATGGTATGGGCAAGCACAAGAAACAGGGATATAACACCACAACCAGCCTTTGATTCCTGGGGCAGCAGCAGTAGTAAAACAACAACGACAACAAAAGCTTCCCCCTAGCACATCCTTATATTTATACTTTTACATGAGACTTGCTGGCAACACTTAGGAATTGCTACTGAGCAGCCTGCATTGAACAACCATGAATTTTCATCTGTTAAAGCAAGAGAGTAGAACAGATCTTGCACCAGGTACAGAGGCCCCTTGCTTCTTGTACACATTTGGGAATTCAGGCATACCTGGCAACACCAGCCACCTGCTGCACTTTATTGCCTCTCTTAGCTCCCTGGTCTACCAAGCTAGGAAAATATTGATGCTTCAGGCTGTTAGAACAGGTTCCTCTCCCAACAGGTAATGTAAACCCTGGGAAAAGCTATTCTTGGGGTGGCTTCAGCCACACCCCAGCCTTCCCCACCCACAGGGAGATGAGGAAAGGGGTTCCCACGGATGGCTAGGATCTAACCTTGTAAAGGCCCCACACCCTTATACTGTGGCGCCACAGAGGACACTCCTACTACTAAGGCAGCAATGAAAGAGCAGTTTGGGGGTTTGTCTGTTGCCCTCAGGGCCTTCAATCAGGCCCCTGGCACAGGACAGTCCTGTAAGGTGACTTTCTCACACACAGCCGTAAACTACAGCTGCTCTCCCGCTTATTTCTTGCCTATTCTCAGTCTATAGCAGGCCTCATTGATTGCCTGGGGGGGGGGGTCTTTTCAGGAAAACTTCTCCAAAAAAAACCCTAGTAACCTTGAACGACTAACACACACACCACCCCTTACAGAAGCATCAGTCACTAAGGCAACCAAGACTCCCACCAACTACAGTGGCTCATACTGAAAACACATACCTACTTGCTCGCTCAGGCAGTGTGATACCAATTTACCAAAAAGTTGCACAATTTAAGGTAGGAATTCCACAGACCTGCTACCTTTTTAAAAAAATAAAGCATTCCACGACTGCGGATTTCCCCATCGCTGAGTTGCAGTAGTGGGGGAAACCGTAGCTGCAGAGCTCTAAAAGGGACAGAAAAGTCTGAGCTTGAATCACTCCATACAACAAGCATTCCCTGGACAACCCAGTAAACCCTACAATTGAGAAGAATGGCTCTGACAAGGAATTCTAGAAACAAGATTCTGCTGTGCCCCTTCATCTCTTCTCCTCATGCTTCCAGCCCTCTTTCATCTGGTAATCTAAGGAGAACCTCATCCCTCCCTCCCCCTCCCCCACATTTAAAAAAAAAAACAAAACAGTATACGCCCTGCTCCTGCCACAAGAGCCACCATCAGAAGCATCAGATCAAGATGGCACCTTGAGAACTGCCTGCAGACTTACCAGCCTGATTGGCTTGTGGTGCAAGTCCGCCTCCTTGATAGGCTTGTCTTGGAAGGTGGGCACCAAGCCACGACGGGCCAGAAGTTGTAGCAAGGCAGCGTTATCCTTGGGGGCTGAGGCACCATCAGGGCCTGGGGGTAAGGCCTGACGCCAGGCACGGCAGTAGATGTCAGAAGATAGCAGCAGGCGGATAAGAGGAGGCTTCATGTGCTCCTGTTCATACTGGTCTGTATAGAAGGGCTCGTGCAGCTCAGCAGGGATGTGCTCTGTAAGAGGGAGAGAAAGAGACACGCTACTTGCGCCCATTCAGCTCCAGCTCAAAACATAACATCTATCTAAAACTTATCTTCTGCACTCCAAGTCCTAGAGCCTCCTTGGTAACTCTTGTTCACTTTTTGTCACCCTCTCTGTCCCACATCAGTAAGGTACCATTGGTAGAATACTGGATTTAGGAAACCTGGGTTTAAATCCCCATTCCAGGCACAAAGTTCAGTGGGCAGCCTTAAATATGACACTGTCAGCTGTAAGAATAAAAGGAGACATCCCAAGTACAATTGCCCAGGACTCAAACAAGGGTGGAGTACAAATTTGGTGAGTTTTCCCCAGGGCCCTCCAGTGTCTCCCTTTCCTTCATCTTTCCCCATTTCCACAGACTTGCCTCCTGGGTTATAAAGCAGGAGGAGGAGCCAGGAAGAGACTGGTTCCAGCCCAACTCCACAAGATGAAAGGGAGTCAAAACAGTCTACAAACTCAAGGCCTTTGACACTAGAGGTTCTCTCTCTTCACTTTCAGGAAAGCAGCACAGACATCAAGCACTGTGTAAGCACAGATCAGAAAAAACCTTCAGTCAGCAATCTCCAAGGAGACTGAGCTTAGTGCTCGAAACATCTCATATTTGACATTCACCTGCACAGTCTGAGATCCCAGGGAGGCATGCCTTCAGGACCAGACTGAGGTGGAAGTCCATGGCCCTAGCTCACAGGCTCACCAGCACACACACCCATATACTTTTTGATGTATACATCACTATCTAAAGGGGGATGCGTAAGTCCATTAAACTGGGAGTTTAAAATTTCCTAACCCCATCACGCCCCCATGCCCATGCCTGTAGCCCATTCTCAGTATTCACAGTTAAGCTACGTTAGTTCAATAGTTCAAAAGAGCCGGTTTGGTAGCCTTCAGGACCAGACTGAGGTGGAAGTCCTTGGCCCTAGCTCACAGGTTCACCAGCACACACACCCATATACTTGTTGATGTATACATCACTATCTAAAGAGGGATGCGTAAATCCATTAAACTGGGAGTTTAAAATTTCCTAACCCCATCACGCCCCCATGCCCATGCCTGTAACTCATTCTCAGTATTCACAGTTAAGCTATGTTAGTTCAATAGTTCAAAAGAGCCAGTTTGGTGTAGTGGTTAGGTTAGTGAAGGGCTGGAGGGTATAAGTCCAATCTCTCCTCTCTCTCTCTCCAATATACACCCCAGCATACTTTGCAGGTAGCTGAATGAATGTTGTTGGTGCCTCATCCCTTCCTATGCCCTGAAATACATGCTGATTCTTGGAGAAAAGACCACAACCCTCCCACCCTACCCACTAGTTAAGACATACGGCATGAACTAGTTGCTCATTTGGATCCCTTTCCTACTCCAACAGAGACCAACTGCCACTTAAAAAGATGACAAGGTCCTGTGAACACAGACACTCTCTTTCCAAGACAGTCCTATAGAGGAGCTCTGTACTTGGAGCCCATTCCTCTCGGGGGACACAGCAAGGGATGCTTCTTAACTAGGTGGATGAGGCAAGAGACACCTTAACTGCAGGAGCCACTGAGGGCTTCCAGCACTACATAGTGCCCCATGGGTACAGGTCTCAGCACAACATCCTCAGAGGCACAAGGTCCTGTGAACACAGACACTCTCTTTCCAAGACAGTCCTATAGAGGAGCTCTGTACTTGGAGCCCATTCCTCTCGGGGGACACAGCAAGGGATGCTTCTTAACTAGGTGGATGAGGCAAGAGACACCCTAACTGCAGAAGCCACTGAGGGCTTCCAGCACTACATAGCGCCCCATGGGTACAGGCCTCAGCACAACATCCTCAGAGGCATGATGTGACTCAGTAACATTTGTGACTGGAGATGAGGAGTTTTCACGACTCTCATTTCCACAGCACAAGCCCCATCCTTCAGCAATTTCCCCCTAAACTGGGAGGAAAGGAAGAAGGAATAATATGATGGGAAATTATGCTTGGGAACCAGACTACAGAAGCACTTCAGTTTTAGTCAGAGGCTGCACAGAATGTAAACAGAGACTCACAGGAGGCACCCTCAGCTGAGCACTGAACTCAGAGCTCTCAAACAAACCCACCTTGCCAAACAAGTACAGCTCAGACGAGCCCCGCTGCTGGAGTTGTTACTCAGCCATAAGAAAAGGAACATCACTATTTGCCCTAGCAGCCTTATTCACTTCCAGCCGCTCTAAGTAAAATACAGGTAGGGACAACCAGCACTTTACTTTTGGGTAAAGGCATGGGGGATTAGGAACATTTGTTCATGGGTAACAAGGGACTATCTACATTTCATGGGTTATACTACGTCAGGATTCATTTTGAGACTCCTTTGCTTTAACAGTTCACATGTGTTTTTATAGGTTCTGGCTACCAAACATAACTTCATCTGTGGGATCAAACTTTTCTATATTGGCTGAAGCAAAAAGACCCTTCCCTTGGATAGAGTCAAAAGACATATAAGGGGCTGATAAATCAGAATCCTGGGGTGGAGCAATTACAGATAGGTAATGCAAATTCCTGTGGTTTTGTAGAAGGAAAATGATCATTTACTGTCTTTTCACTCTGTTTAGAAATTGGAAACGAGAGAAGTCTGACAAACCATGTGGGTACTTCCATAAGCCCAGACCTCTCATTCCTAATTTTTGTATATCTAAATACTTGTAGGTATACTCACAATAGCTGTAATAGCCCAGGTTAGCCTGATCTTATGAGAACTCAAGAGCGGAGCAAGGCCAGCCACAGTTGGTATTTGGATGTGAGACTACCAAGGAAGACCGGGGTCGCTACATAGAGGAGAGCAAGGGCAAACCATCTCTGCTCATCTCTGGCCTTGAAAACCCCAAGAAGTTCTACATGAATAGGTTGCAACTCAATGGCATATTTTCCCTAGGTATATACACACACAAAAACCCACCTTTAATTCTTGGTTCCATCCATACAAAACAACAACTATTCCTAAGGAGTACCCAAAACAACGAGCAAAGTCCTATGATTAATTAGCCCAGTAAAGAATGTACAGAGATTCTACTTCTCCAAGATAATACAAATGGGGATGGTCTCAGATACCTCCTCAAACAAAAGTTGCCTTCAAAGTCCAGGACAGCAGGAGGCCACAGGCTACAAGCCTCAGGTCAAGAGTCATTTGGCTCTTCCCCTTTGGCTCACACCAATGTTCATGCCTCAGGCAAGCCTTGCTTGAAATTATACCTGGAAAAGGGAGAGCCAGATACTTCAAGCAGTTGCTGGTAACTGGCTGGGTCAGATGATCTTAATTTCCTCCCCCCTCTCCATACCTCAGGCGAGCCTGCTTGAAATTATAACATTTGTTTTGCCAGAACCCATACTCCTTGTACCTCCTCTGCTTCAGGAAAAGAATGGGGTATAGTGGGAGTTAAGCACAAAGCTTTCAGCAAGCTCAAGAATGAATGGTTGTGGCAGAGGCATCTATTTCCTCCCTTGAGACCCAGAACTACAAACTCAGCTCAGGGCCTTTAACACTCTGGTTGCGACTAGCAGGTGTACAGAAAGCAAGAAATGCATCTTAGCCTCCTATGTTCTCTCTGCCAGGAAGATAACACCGGAGCCAACACGCACGCGCTGTATAGGCTGTTTCCTCAAGAGGCAAAGCCACAAGACTTAAGCTCTACATGTCAGCTCCTGCCAGTGAGTCGGCTGGGAGGGCCAGGACATTCCTGAGAAAGCACACATGCACAGGGAACAGGTGGAACAGCTTTAACAGCTGATTCAGCATCACCTGATCACAACCACATCTGCACGAGACCTGACTTGTGGATTCAGTCCCAGCTCCTGCCTGCCCTATAGCTTCCAGCCCAAATAAACAAACCCCTCCATCCATCCTGGCAAGAGAGCCCATCATGCCCACCTCCAAGGACTCAAGGCATCCAACACGGGGAACAGCTTGCTTAGGAGGGAGACACGGGAATCCTTACTTAGAAATGCTTGGGTTGTGAGTGTAGTGGCCCTCTCTGTCCCAGCACAGCTTCAGTCAAAAGGGGGCCACATGTTACAAATGATTCCCAGCAATAAATCAGGCATCGCTAATAGGGGCACAAGTTAAGATTTAGCTTCAAGCCTCTCCCCACTGAGATCACCACTAAGGAGAGAGCACAGATACGTCATATAGCAAGCGTAAAGTAGAGCTTGCCCCAGCCAGCACAGAACTTAAAAGAATGCAAACAGGCCAATGCAGAGACTAATGGCTACATGCAACAAATTTGGCTTCCTGTCCCCAGGACAGTGCCTGCACCAATTCTTCCCAAGGACCGGCACAGCAGCTACTCCCTGGGCAATACTCTCTTTTCCTCAACTGCAGCCAAGATGGGCAGTTTGCCCCATACAGAGGCATGTCTAATATAGCAAACAAGCAACACAGATCCAAAGATTATTACACCTCCTCACACTTGCATCACTTTTGCTTAGGGAAGGAGCCGCTCGCAGACCGCCAGGATTAAAGCAGCAGTTACGAGTAGCAGGCAGACAGTCCAAACATACACCAGCCTGAGAAACACCTACTCTTTTATTCTTCCACCTACCCCTTTTCCAGAAGTCAACAAAGGAATGGTGCCCAGTGTTAGGCTGGCTGCTCAGGGAGCTAATCCTGCTGGCACACAGAACTCTTCATCTAGGCAGGAACAAGAGGCAAGTGCTTGCTTCCAGTAGGGAGCTGCCAAGGCCCTGCCTGTAACCCAGGGTGATTCTGCATTGGCTTTTCCCTCCACTGTTTTAGCAAACTCACATGGGAACAGAAATTCCCCTCTGCATTGCATGCTGCTTTCACTTTCTTTGATCATCGGGTTTTATGGTACCTTCTGCATAGATTTATGGCTGTTCAGGGGTGACTTTGCAGTCAGTACAGCATTGCCTCGGTGGTATTTGAATGTGGTTTTGAGCTGCACCTTTTCCTCAGTGTTGAGAAAATGTGGAGCAAATGCCAGGTGCAGAACCAGCCCCAACT